CCCCAAAACCCCAAAACCCCAAAACCCCACTAATTCGATCTTCCTAAGATTATTAAAAAATTAAATAAATTAGCAGCAATACAAGTAATAATAATTATTTATGCTTTTATCACATTTCTTTCTACTAATATTATTCACTTTCTAATAAACTAGAGCTCTAATGAACTTTTTAAATAATTAAACAGGAATCATCACTGAGACTTCTATTTTTGTCTAGCTAGACTTTATTGTAGTTACTCCAAAGAGTTTATTGCTTGATTATGGAGGAGATCAGTATTATTCACTAATACAACAAAATTCATCAATGTTTTTTGAAAAATGAGATATGGACGCAAGTTGCAGTAACAACTATGTTTTAAGAAGATTTTACTGTTAAATAAGTACGGGTGGCTTTTATAAATGGATTAATATTGTAGTTAAAGACGTTTTGACACCAATTCATAATACTTCTATAAGCCAAGAGTTTTCATTTCAAATAGAAATCTAAGACCAATCTTAAATATATCCTTTAATAAAAATCACAGAAACTTAGCAATTTATTCCGAATTAGCTACTAATTTAACCCCCAAGTTTGATAATCTTTGAAGATTAGAATTTAAAGAGGAATTTTACCTTTATAAAGTTTAATATTGTAACAGTATCACAATTCAATCAAAGGATAGCAATATATACATTTCTAGAACCAGAGTAAGAATCTCAATTGATTTTTAATTACAATCCAGAGTGTTTAATTGAATTTAATGGCATTAGTAAATTATTTAATGCTACATATCGATACTTTATGGGAAAGTATTATATTCAGTTAGATTTATATGATACAGGTGTGGCTGGTCTTGAAATTAAGTACTACTGTTATGGAATAATAAATTATTAATATTTGAGAAAAGTGCAAATTAAGCTGTCAAACTCTTAAAATTTGAACTAAATTAATTCTTACTCTGAACAAATAGAAATAAATGAAAGGAATTTCGTTTATTCTAAAGATAAATCGATGATCTTTGATGCATTTCAGAACTTTTAAAACGATCAAAATAATCTTAAAAACAACTATGGGAGTACTGTTACATCCCAAGATCAGAATTTAGATACTATATAGTATGCTATACTAGGAAGTTTAATAATAGTTTTATTTCTAGTAGTTGGTAAAATTACTTTCATTTGTTTTTGCTGGAATAAAGATAGTCTCATTGGAAAATAAAATTGTGAATAATTTGATGGAAAAAGTAAAGAAATTGAATTAAAATTAAATAATATTGATTAAGCTGATAACTAATAATACTAATAAGAAATTAACGAAGTTATTAGCTAAAGTCATATTTTTTAAGATTAAATCAATATTGATCAAAATGAAGCATAAATAAAGAGTTAATTTACTGTTAAACGTAAAGCTATCACCAACTCAAGCTTAATATTGATAGAATTTGAGCAACTGCCTGTTGCCTGATGAGTTTGATTAATTTAATTAAAAATTATCGACAAATTTTAATTAAAGAAAATGTTGTTTTATTTATAAAATATATTAATAACACATTATAACTATTCAACTTTTAAGAAGTAATTAGTAGAGGAACCACTTCATCCAAATTATCAGCATTCCTTTCCTCATTGATTATCTGTTGATCTATTTATGAAATCAGAATATCGCTTCATCTTAATATCAAACCTAGGTAAATTTCCATGTTTTTTAGTCTTAGCTATTAGATGTGGCTCAAGTGCTCTCAGAATCATTTGCTATCTTTACAAATCCAAATCTTTAAACATTTTAAACAGCTTTACCACCTCTTCTTTTGGCTTCTTTTGCGAAACTAGACCCATTGTTTTACTCAGCCTTGGGGATTTTCCAGCATGGTTAGATGAGTTCAATGCATTGGCATTGGTATTTTACTCATTAGAAGAATTATTTCGAGTGCCTTTTATTTATATGCCAATTGTGTTATTCAGTTATTTAGGTTCGTTTACCTAGGAAACTCTATTCATTGAATTTTATCCATGATTAGGAGAGACTCCTTGAATTCCACTTAAACCTCCATGATTAGACACTGCTGAAGAAGGTAACCTCTACTAGTTTTGGTTGTTTAGATTAAGAGAAAACCTCGATATTGACTTATCAGTTTATTTTTTTATAACAATGTTTTCTTGATAGTTTTGATTGATAGTCTTCTTTCTATTTGAACTACTACCGTTATTAATACTCTTTTCTAGTAATTTATTGGTTGGAGCAGTTATTTCACCCATAGACTACCTTATTTGAGTTGTTTGCTATTTACTTTATATTAACGAAGAGTCTATTTTTGGATTTGGATCAGACCTTTTCTGCTAGTTATTATTTATGCTTCTTTTGCTTCCTTCTAACCTTCTACTCGAGGCAGCGAATGAAGAGTGCGATCTATTGCTACCGCTTTTTACACTTTACTTACTATAAGTTGAGCTGCTGTCCTAACTAGACTCTTCCTCTAGCATTTAATCTGCATTTCCATAGTTCATAAAAATTTGTTACTTGATTTCATCATCAGTCTACTGGTATGGCATTTTAGATTACTCATGCTGAGATTATTAAAATTGCTATTAATGACTATTATTATCATTTGTAAAGCTTGATACTGGGACAGATGTAACTTAAATTATGGGATTAACATTCATTCCAGTTGAGTTTTTAGAAAATGGAATAGGAGTGATGCTTGACTCAAATTTCTCAACGTCGCTGAATCTTGGATAGTCAGCATTCATGTTGCTATTTGAATTTATATTTATCCCTTAAGTAATGTTATTTTAAGATCCCTAAGTAGTTGTCTAATAATTTGTGGATATTCTCTGAGATAGATTGTTGTTGTTATTTCCTCCAGATTCTGATGAGCCTTGAATCTCCTATATTTCTTACTAAATGCGCTGCTATTGCAGCATAATATTCTTCTCTATCTCTCTAAGTTAAGGAATTGAAGCATTATCTAGATCACCTATTTTCTTGAATTGTAGCATCATTGAGTCCATCAAAAGACCATTAGAAAAGTTAGAACTAATAGATGATCTTGGCTATTAATCTCTGAGGGAGTTTCTATCAATGCTAGAGAGCTCTCGAGAAGACTCTAGATCTTATTATTATTTATCCACCTAAGTTGAGTCCTATTTATCTTCCTCATCTGATTCATATTCCAGTAAAAATGCTTAGCTAACTTTGAGGACCATAGCATCTGGATTTAAAGGCAGATTTTAAATTATAGTATCAAGCTAGGGTTAATGCTAAATACTCAATTAATTTTGATTTCTTTAAAAAGCTTATTAGCTATTAGCCAAGTTTTCCTATTATATTCTTTGTGAGAGTGAAATTACCTAAGTATCAATAGATGTTTTGTCAATGCTAGTATTGAATCTATTTCTAAAGATTGATAGAGATCCATGACTCCTTGACTTATAGTAAATGCTAATAGCTAACTTTACAATTCTTTTTCTAAAAAGCTGAAATATAGTCTCACGTTCCCACTATCTCTCATATTCTTAGTAAATTTTAACACTCATCTGAACTAATCTTTTTTTCACAAGCTTAAATAGTAAATTCTAATAGTTATACATCAGCATCTGCCTGAACAGCTCTAGTGAATAATCTATTATGGCATTTTGATTAGAGAATATAATTTTGACTTTAAGCTTTTCAAAGGCAATTATAGCTGATGTCAAGCAAGCCTACTTAAACCAGTAGAGTGCCTCTTGAGTTCCCATAGGTATTTCACTATCAGTCATACTACGCTTAGAAATAGAGGGTCTTGAAATACTATCATTATGCCGACTCATTTATATCAAGGGGCTGATTGCACCGATACGCCCTTAGCCTGCCCATGTGGCTTGTTTCTTTAGCAAATAATTTGGCACTTGCTTTTTAGACCTTCTTCTATCCTCTTTGACTTTTTCAGTATCAATAAACAAAGATTTTCTTTTTTTAATTATCTAATATTGTTTGTATGCCTTTACAGCTAATCTTACAAATCTGTTCTTTACTAGTCTCATCAAAAGATCATAGTTATTAAACCTAAGCATTATTCTGTATATTTATAGGCAGGTATAAACAAAGGCTGTGCTAGATTTTTCCTTGATAATTTTACTTTTTAAATTCATCTGTTTGATGCTAAGTTAAAGCGCCAGTTCTTTATTAAATCCTTTAAACTGTGAGATGTTGATTGATTGCTGATCAGTTTCTTGCCTTGAAATCGTATTGCTATCTGGATTTTTGCTTACTTTAAAACTCATCTCAGACTAAAATCTATTAGACTCATTCGCATTAATAAATGTTTTTGTTGATTTCTTTTTTACAGGTTGTTGCTCCTTACTATATGGCTAAGGCTGATTTTAAGGCTAAAGCATCGTTTTGAATTCTTCATCTGTATCAACTTTAATATGCTCTTTAGAGCTATATGATTATAAAGAAGGGCTATGGATGACATCAGGTGATTGTCTATTTACACCATCTAAGTTAATCTTATTCATTATCTATTTTTAAGATTCCATATTTCCTTTCTCTTAATACTCATCTATTATTATACTGATTTTAGACCTTCTAGATTCCTTTCTCTCTTCACTCTCGAAAATAATGGAGTCTTCTTATGATGACACTTTTTGAATCAAATCTTTATTACTAAATTTTGATTTTACTTATTATTGAACCAAAATAACTGAGGGCTTAATATCTAATTAAAGTAAATTAGTCTGCAAGTCTAATTCATCCTTTACTTTATGGGGAGAGGACATTAAATACGAACTTCTCAATTCTGATGTGTTGTTCTCCTTAATGATTGATTAGGTTATTTCACTAGGATTTTTAGTATATTTGCTATTAATGGTATTGAATTTGTTGGCTTTATAATCAGCATTTTAGGGAGTATTAAGTCCTCTGAGTTCATGAAAGAAACTCTTATAGCTAAAATCTTTAGACTATATTCTGATTAATTCACTTGTGTTAGTGTTACCAGATAACTATCTGTCAATTTGACTAATTTAGTCGAATGACTGATTCATCATTGGAGCTAAAAATTTACTTGACATTTTATCTTAGTTGAATATGTTATTTTCCCTAGACTCTCCCATATATTCAGCTTATTTACTATTCAAATTCAAAGATATTTGTCTTTCTGGGTTATGGGAGTGACTAGGGCTGTTATCCTACAATATATAACTGAACTTTTTATCATTTACATTCAAAAATGGAGATGCTACATAATCCTGCTTTGATATTCTACTATTGAGTGAATTCGATTGTATATAGTTATTAGCTTTATGCTATTTAGGAATAGGTAGTTTCTCTCTGGATTTGTTTGCTAACGCATTTGAGGATTACAATAAGTACTGCTGCAATTATCTAGAGCTTTCATCTATTTATATAATTTCAAGAGATTAAGATAATGGATCCTCTTGCATAGTTTAGTAATTTTTTCCCTCAATATTCCGAGAACGCTTCTGCAAGTTTTTAATCTTAAATGTCTTCTGGCTATTATTCAGAGACTTCTGTACCTGATTACTATTTACTTATATCCGTGCTAGGTCCCTTTTAATTCTATCAAGTCTTCTTTACAATTGCTCTTCCTAATTTGATACTGAAATTTTTGAGTTTTCAGAATCTATGTTTTCATGAGTGGGCTTTTATTTATTATCAAGTCTAGTCTTTAATGTTTTTAGCAAATTAGACTTGGTATTAGATTTAATCATGCCCTTCATTTTCAATTTTAAAGTTTTAGTCTATGATTAGTCGTAAGGGTTTTTCTTTGTAATTTCAGGTAAACTAAATGATGCCTCTAGTGACTTATTATTTGTATAAAGAATAGCATCATGCTTAATAATTTAGGAAATATTAATGGGAGATTTTTTGCCATTTTGTATTTTTAAATTAGACGAACTCCGATTAATGATTGTTGGTTTAAGGTTATTTCCAGGATTCATTTTTAATTACAATTTAAATAGAACAATGATAGTAAGTTCAACTTGCATAAATATATTTTAACCTTCTCTCAGGTTTTGCCTAAGAATCACTATCGGGGTTTTGGGGTTTTGGGGTTTTGGGGTTTTGGGG